CCCATTTGTTGATCACTGTTGAAGCTGAGTGATGAGTATATTCGATGAATTATAGCATATTTTAGTATACATTTGGAATTTTCATAGTAAAAAGTTGAAAATGTAAATATTAAGAAATGACTCTACTCCTACAACTCAACAAAAAGCAAAGAACCCAATTCAAAAATGGGTAAAGGACTTGAACATTCATTTCTCCAAAGAAGATTTACAGATGACCAATAAGCACATGAACAAATTCGCGATATCACTAATCATTAGGGAAATGTAAATCAAAACCACAGTGAGCTACAACTTCATGCCCATTAGGATGGCTTTATCAAAAAATAACAAGTGCAGGGGATGCCTGGGTGGCTCAGTTGGTTAAGCAGCTGCCTTCGGCTCAGGTCATGATCCCAGCGTCCTGGGATCGAGTCCCACATCGGGCTCCTTGCTCAGCAGGGAGCCTGCTTCTCCCCCTGCCTCAGCCTGCCATTCTGTCTGCCTGTGCTTGCTCGCTCTCCCTCTCTCTCTCTCTCTGACAAATAAATAAATAAATAATCTTAAAAAAAAAAATAACAAGTGTTGATGAGGATGTTAAAAACTGGAACTCTTACCCACCCATCCCCTGCGAAACTGGAACTCTTACACACTGCTGGCAGGAATATAAAGTAGTATAGGTACTACGGAAAAGTATTTTTTTAATCAAAAAATTTTAAGGGCGCCTGGGTGGCTCAGTCGTTAAGTCTGCCTTCGGCTCAGGTCGTGATCCCAGGGTACTGGGATTGAGCCCCATATCAGGCTCCCTGCTCAGTGGAGAGCTTGCTTCTCCCTCTCCCACTCTCCCTGCCTGTATTCCCTCTCTCACTGTCTCTGTCAAATAACTAATAAATTTTTTTTTAATTTTTAAAAAATTTTAAAAAGCAGTACCATATGAAGCAGCAATTTTACTTCTGAGTAAAAAGAACTGAAAGCTGGGACTCAAAAGATACTTGTACACCCATATTCACAGCAACATTATTCACACTGGCCAAGAGGCAGAAGCACCCCAACTGTGCACCAATGTATGAATGGATAAACAAACTTAGAATTCTGACACAGGGTACAACATGGATAAAGCCGGAGGATATGAAGCTAAATGAAATAAGCCAGCCACAAAAGGACAAATACTACATAATTCCACTTACATGAAGTATTAGAGTAATCAAATTCATAGAAAATAGAACAATGGTTGTAGGGCTGGAAAAGGGGGGAGATTGTTCAATGGGTATGGAGTTTCAGCTGGAGAAGATAAAAAAGCTCTGTACACTGATGGCAGTGTTTGCCCAACAATGTGAACGTATTTAATGCCATTGAACTGTACGCTTAAAAACGGTCCAAATGGTAAATTATATATATATTCTTTTACTACAATTTTTTTAAAAGTTTTTAAAAAATACAATTCTACCCATCTCAGTATTTTTGGAAAAACTTTCTTTGATCATTGGACATACACGCCACAAATACAGCAAAATAACCTTAAAATCTTGATGTAACATTCTAAGGGATACTCTAAGATATAATTACTTTTCAAACTAAAAAAAAAAAAAAAAAAACCACATGGGCACTTTTCGCCCCTTCCTCCAGGATCGTGACTTCATTTAACACTTTAGCATGAACATGGTTTGGCCTGGCAGAGATGAAATTCTTTCCCTGATCTATCAAAACCTTCCTCCACAATCCTGAGAGAATTTATCCAAAAAGGTATCATTCCCAAAGCAGCTCTACAATGTCATCAGACTGCATTACAAACTTATTAGTGATGCTTACAAGTGGGCAACTTCCTCAGCAGCCAGTAAGCCTAGAACTAAACATTCTGCGGTCTATTTGTAAGCCTACATGGCAGTGTCATTGTTGCCTCCTTAGATTAGATTCCAAATCGAAAGATCTGAAAACATTTCAGGAAGTATTTGGCGAAATTCATAAAACAGGCAAAGATATATTCCACTGAGGCAAAGAGGGCTTAGAATGGATGAACAGGAATGAATGTCTTCAGAGAGAGCTACGTATTACAAATTTCATCACACTGGGCCTCTCTACACCTTTCTGAAGCTTCTGAAGGCTTGGATATACAATCTCACCTTCAAAATGCAAAAAGGGAAAAAAAAAAAAAAAAAAAAACCACAGGGAACCTATGAGACCAGGCTTTCTGTGTGGTCTGTCATAATGCTAAATTCAAGTAGTGCACACACTGCACTACCAATAAAAAAACCATAAAGGCAAACTTGTGTTTGTATTTAGTAATGAATCATCAGTCTTTCATTGCATTTATTTTACTACAGAACCAGCTCTATGTGATCAACCAGATCAAACAGAAGTCAGAACTACCTTTTGTCACAACCAGAGTATCATCCTCCTATCAAGTTGCCTGGACAATTCGCTGATATTCTATAATGCAAAAGCCTTTTAAATATGTATACTCTCTGACCAAGCGTTTCCACATCTGAAAATGTATACTAAGGAAAAGAGCTGAAGATGTATGTAAATGATGTATGTAAGATGTATGTAAACTTCATGAAGAAAAAAAATTATGAACATACTTAGTGACCAAGAGGCAATAGACTTGAACTATAGTACAACCACAGTTACATGCTATGCAGACATGAAAATAGTAACCTACCTTATATAGCTATATTGTTTGCCTCTGTACATACATGTGAACAAATACACATACACAAATGCACGTGTGTGAGAACAAGATACACATGGGCACAGTGGGTGTGTAAACATACATATGTACACATATGCACCAAATGTGTACAAGTATAATCAGAGGCCCATGGAATGGTACATGTGTACAAAGATGTGCCTGTATATGTATGTATGGGAACATGAAAAAATACATAGGAACATATATCTCTGTTAATGCATATGCCTATATTTGGAACGTGAGCCTGTGTTTTAAGTAGGTGAGTGTGTATTTATCCTTGTAATCACTACTTAAGAGGCTGTGACCTTGAGTAAGTTAATGAGCCTCTTGGAGTCTTGACTTTGTCATCTATACAGTAATACCAAACCCTGCCTCATGGGGGTTTTATGAAGATTAGTGAAATAATGGATATAAAGCACTTAGTACCGTGATTGGCACATAGTAAATGCTCAGTCAATATTAGCTCTCCTTATCTGTACCCATGTATACTAATTTATACTTACGTATATTTACATACCTATTATGTCCACAAAGATACACATCAAAATACTAACTTTGGTTACCTATGAGTGATAGATTTTTACTGTCAGGCTTTTTAGGGGGAGAGCTGGCTTACATATTTTGCAATTTTTCTAGGAAGATTCTTTTTTTTTTTTCCCATGTTTTTTGGAGGTTATTTCTAAAACACAATGATTTTTAAAAATAAAAATGACCTGTCCCTGACATACCTCAATTCTGCTTTTTAAAAACTATTAACTACTTCACGAAGGAACACATAGTTTCAATACTCCACCAAATTTTTTGTATTCCAGCAATATGTCAGCATTACCTGATAGCTCAAGAAGATGGCAGTACAAAGAAAAGCCACCGCTTTTTGCTTGTTTGCCTTATCCGAAGCAGGATGAAAAGAATGAATCAGATCACAGTGTGGGATATGTGTGGTTTCTGAACACTGCGAAGACAGTTAAGTGACTTAAGTGACACCTGTCATTTGTGTTTTATTAAAGCAGAGAGGAACCCAGAGTCTGGCCCAAGGTCATACAAAAGAGCATGTGCCAGACCCCAGGCTGTGAGAGATCTGAGGACTAGACTGCATTGCCACAGTTTGGGTGTGTTTATGAAACCAAGAAGCTAAATTCTTAACCAGTCATTTCAGAAGTCCACTGGAGGAGAGAGGAAATTACAACATAGGCCTGATGACAGCAAAACAAACTGGTAACTGGCTGTACTGGGTTAATCTAGATGTTTTAATCATACTGCTTTTCCTTATTTCTAAAATAAAAACTTTAGCTCATCAATGATAGGACACTTAAATTTCATAAAAGCACGCCTGACATATGTATACAAATTCTTATCAAAAACATCTGAAACGACAAAAAGCTAGCAGTTATCTGCGGTTCCAAGCAACACCAGTTCCTACCTGGCTTAATTCCCACAATTATGATGTATTAGGTTAAATACCACTAAAACCCCTGCAGATTGTCTCTGAATTTCCGAAGGGAACCCAGCTACAGAGAGAGGCAAGTAAAACAAGCAGCTCTTTTCCCCAGGGCCTCAAATTATAAATTATAACCGGGATAATACTCCTATACATTTCCTCCCCAGCCATGCTATTAAATCTCCTTAAACGTCATTTCCAAGCTTTTAAAACACACACCGAGGCACACGCCCTGCAGCCTTCCACCAAGCTCGACATTTTGGGGCATCGCCCCAATTAAACATCGCCTTTCCCAAACCTACTGCAAACTGCGGACTTGCCTCTCGTCTCATTTTTTTGACTTCTGTCTTAAAACGGAGGCAAGGTGGATGGGTTTCGACAAACAGACTAGGCTCTGAAACCCTGAGCAATCCTCTCGTCGCGGGGAGCTGTCGGCCGCAGTAGCAGCGATTTTAACCTTTTCTCTCCACCTCGTTTCCTTTCCCACCTCATGCTTGCCTTTTTTTTTTTCCCCTTTCCAATGACATCAAACCAAAAGCGGAGCAAGAAAAACTGAATGCCCCCGGGCCGCTGCCTCCCGAGGATGGGGCCTTCTGCCTCGGGGACCCGCCCGCCGCGGGAATTGCGGGAAACGCTGCGGGGTAAAGGTTTTCCACCGCCCCAGTGCAGCCCCAGGTCGCGGAGGGATGGGCCGGGCAGGCGGCGGCCTCGAATCTGAGCGCGGGGCTCACCCGGCCCGCCCAGGCCCCGCGCGGCCCGCCCAGGCCCCGCGCGGCCTGTGCAGCCGCGGCGTCGCGTCCGCCACAGGCTGGGCCAGAGATGCGCGCGAAGCGGCCGGCAGGGCAGGGTCGGGGGCCCGGGGCCGGAGGCTGGGGGGCGGGACTCGGCGCTGCTCACCTGCTGGTACCGACTGCCGCAAGCCGGCTCCACCGCCGCCAGCGCCGCCAACGCCAACGCCATGGCGCAGCGGGCCGCAGGGAAGGAAGGCGAGCGAGCGAGCTAAAGGGGCGCGGGCGCTGCGGCCTGGTAGCCCGGGGAGGCCGAAGGGGACGCGCCTCGGGTGGGTCTCGAGGGCCGCCGCCGCTTCCAGGCAAGCAGCTCTCCTCGGGCCGTGCGCGCCGCCGTCGTCGCCGCCGCCGCCAAGGCTCCGACGCGGCCTCTGGGGAGGAGGCGGAGACGCGGATGACGACGCTGCGCCGCCGCCCCGCCCTCGACTCGCGCCGCGCGGTCCTGCCAGGCCTCGCCCCGCCCCGCGCCGCGCCTAGAGTCCCGCGGAGCCGCCGCCTGGGGTGGGGTCGGCCTTTCGTCCGCCCTGCGGACCGGGTGCTGACGCCTTGCGGACCCGGGGCTGACGCCTTGCGGACCGGGGGCTGAAGCCTTCCGCACCGTGGGCTGAAGCCTTCCGCGGAGAGGCCGCTGAAAAAGAATTACCCACTGAGGAGCACCTCATGAAAGAAAGCTTTGAGCTTTCTACGTGTGTTCTCTTCTTTTTTTTTTTTTTTTTTTTTAAGATTTTATTTATTTATTTGACAGAGAGAGATCACAAGCAGGTAGAGAGGCAGGCAGAGAGAGAGGAGGGAGCAGGCTCCCTGCTGAGCAGAGAGCCCGATGCGGGGCTCGATCCCAGGACCCTGAGATCATGACCTGAGCCGAAGGCAGCAGCTTAACCCACTGAGCCACCCAGGCACCCCTGTGTGTTCTCTTCTTAACCCTCGTCTCACACCCCGACCTAGGGGCCACGGCCCCATCTAAGAGGTCGTTGGCGCGCAGGGAGGGTGACAGCCTGGCACGGTAGCGATCTGATCCCCTGGTACCTGCTGTCCAATCTCGGTTCTTTTCCAAGTCCCTTCTTGTCTGCCGTCTTCGTGGATCAGGGGTCTGTCGACCCTGGCAGGGCAGAGGCCAAATACCGTCCAGTGGCGGTGGAAAGTGTAAGAAGTTCACGTTTTGTTGTCCATGCCGTTCCCATTTGTTGAGCACGGCTCATAAATCCTCTTACCTGCTATTTGGCCATTACAGAAAAGTTTCCTAAGCTACATCCTCCAGAACTCCTTAGATCTCAAACAAACCCTAGGATGGATGATAATAATAGCATCTTCCTTTTTATACAGCCTTCAGTATTTTAACACCCTCATCTGTAAAGACATGCTATTTTTCTGTCTTATACATATATATGTATATATATTCTGATATATATATATAAAATATATAATTATAAAATAATTATATTTTAATTTGTAATTATAATTACTATTCATTTATTTAAAGAAGGCTCCACCCAGCGTGGAGCCCAACCTCGGGCTTGAACTCAGGACCCTGAGATCAACACCCAAGCTGAAAACAAGAGTTGGGCTGTTAACCCACTGAGCCACCCAGGAGCCTGCACATGATATTTTTCTTTTTTGGTGGGCAGCAAAGCAAAGTTTATTAAGTGATAGCAAAGTAATAATACAAAGCTCTGGAAGAGGGAGGAGACCCCAGAGGGTTACCCCACTCCATGATATTTTTGAACCAAAGCTCTCTGAAGAGGGGACATGAAGGGCCAAAATCCAAAGATTCAGGCATGCTGAGAGCTTTCCTGATGGCAGGAACATTTGCAAAGTCTGTGACAGGAGTGAGAGCTTGCCTCACGGAAAAACTGAAAGGAGGCAGGCAGAATTGCCATATAGGCGGTACGATTACCAATGTTTCCCACATGAGGACATTAAGCTTGAAGAGATTAAATATCTCACCCAAGGCTAGTGAGGGGGAAAGCTGGAATGTAAACCCATTAAACCAGAATTGTTAACCATTACTGTGCAACTAAATTACAAACTCTGTGAAGATAAAGTATGTATCGCTTAAATATTTTTATATCTCCTATGGCATCTAGCACAGCACACATATGAGGTCTGCTGTTTCCTTCTGTCATACCCAGCCACCTGGAATTGCTTCTATCCACAAGTCCAACACCGGGGTGGGGGAGGGGTGCGGGGTGGGGGGTGGGAAGGATATTTGAAGCTTTTTGCAATTCCCATTTCTTCTTGATTGCCTTTCCAACTTAGTCATCTAGAGTTGGCGTTAATACAATTATTGTTTTAGCCTCTGATTTTCAAGTTTAGTTAACTACATATTTTTTCACCGTAGCTGTGTTTTGAACCTACTCTGAGGTTTCTGCATACATGAGCTAATTGTAATCAATAAAAAATCTAGATATTTATCTTCCTCACTTTAAGTTCTCCATCAGTTTCCAAACTCCTACATGTCTGTCCCAAAATCCAAGTGTTAGCCTCACGTATTTTCACTTTGGAGAAGTGAACAAATCCAGCAAGATGCCAATCTGAGAGTCCCAAAGTGGTATACTCCTTACTCTGTCCCTTAACTGCTTTCAATCCAGAGAAACCACCTTTAAATGTAATAAGGTACAGTCAACCATTCTACACATAATGTCCTACCTTGTGGTCTTATATGAGGGGAAAAAAATGTCAAATTTGAAATGCTTTAAAATCTCACCAGTAAAAAGTAGAAACCCAGATATCTTTGCCCAGATATCTAAATTTACGTGTAAGGAAGAATAAAAAAAAGTCTGTGTTGCCGCATATGGCTATGGAAGCAACAGCTGCCATCTTTACACACGTCGGCAGCATGGTGACGTTTGTGGAAAAGATGTTGTTACCCTTCCCATCTACTTCTTTCCTAAATTACTTTCTCCCTCAATAGCGATACACTCCTTGCTTATGAACATAATATAAATACTGGGCTTTCTCCCCGAAATATTTTCTCTTGAAAGAAAAAATAATTCATCTGCAGCTTCCAGTCTCCCTTTCCTACTCCTTTTCTGATACCCCGAACGAAACTGTTTTGTGTTCACAGTGAAGTCTTGATCCTTCTCTCTCTCTCTCTCTCTCTCTCTCTCTCTCTGAGTTCCCCACAAAGCCTTTATTAAACAAATGGAGATGATTTGTGTTGATTCAATGGATGGGTAAATTGGGAAGTTGAGAAACTGAGTCACCGCTGTATAAGGTCTCCAGTTGGCAAGCAAACTGTACAGTGAAGGGGAAAACTGAATTTCTGACTCACATATCCATGCCTGCTGCAAGCCAAGCAGACAGCAAAGATAATCCAAGGCTATAAAAATTGCACTCTTTGGCTTCATCTGAAGATGTTGTCAAAGAGAGTTTCCACAGAGAAAGTTATTAATTTCAGATTGCTGCACTTAGAAACTTATTTCCCCACAGAATAGCAGTAATACTTTCCATGTGCAATACTCTTTATGTGAATTGCTGACTCTGAATCATCCATCCTGAGAGAGAAGAGAAATATTATGGAAAGTAAGAGCATAGCTCATGTCCGTTTCTCTACTCCCCTCACCCCCTTTAGATAAAAATCTCCTCCAGAATAGATGTAGTCTTCAGTCTTTCACATCCACCTGAGGCATGTCCTCAGCAGTACTGAGCTCAATAAGTAACCAAAAAGGGTTTGTTAAATTTTAAACAAAGCTTCATTGGTCTAATATCTCATTTCAAGCCCTGAATGTCTCCTGCTAATCTTTTTTTTTTTTAAGATTTTATTTATTTATTTGATGGAGAGATAGCACAAGTTAGCAGAACAGCAGGCAGAGGGAGAGAGAGAAGCAGGCCCTCTGCAGAGCAGGGACCCCGATGTGGGGCTCCATCCCAGGACTCTGGAATCACGACATAAGCTGAAAGCAGGCACTTAACCAACTGAGCCACACAGGCACCCCTGTCTCCAGCTAATCTTTACAGAGCTCCCACCGAACCATGCATTTCCACTTCCACTTACTTATTCCTTCGTTTAATTCTCATTACATTACTATGAGTTTTGTTAAAGGCAAGGTGATATCTTCATATTACAAATAAAGAAATTTTAAAAAATAAAGAAATTATCTACTGATAATTACTACTATTTGTGAAGCACCTTCTGGATCTTGGACCCTTCCACCTGTCGTCTCCTTAATTATCAAAACAAACCCAGTCTGCAGCAAAGAAATTCAGGAGATTACATCACTGGCTCAGCTAGTGATGGTGGAACCAGAATGCAAACCTAGATCTGTCTGATAACAAAACTTGAGGACTGCTATGTGTAGAGGAGAGTATAAGATATAGAAGAACAAGCCTCATCCTTGGAGTCTCTGCAGTGAAATAGAGAAGATAGTCAACACAGACTCAAGACATTTTTTCAACTATAAAAACTGCAATTAGGGGCGCCTGGGTGGCTCAGTGTGTTAAGCCTCTGCCTTCGGCTCAGGTCATGATTCCAGGGTCCTGGAATGGAGCCCTGCATCGGGCTCTCTGCTCTGTGGGGAGCCTGCTTCCCCCTCCCCCTCTGCCTGCCTCTCTGCCTACTTGTGATCGCTCTCTCTCTGTCAAATAAATAAATAAAATCTTAAAAAAAAAAACCCTGCAATTTAATTACCGCTGCTTTGGGTTATATTAACTAAAGATGATGAAGAGAATCATGTGATCATGTATGATAATCAGGTAAGGATTGAAGAGAGGGTTTTTTTTAATATTATATTTATTTATTTGATAGAGAGAGAGACAGCGAGAGAGAGAACACAAGCAGGGGGAGTGGGAGAGGGAGAAGCAGGCTTTCCAGCAGAGCAGGGAGCCCCATGCGGGGCTTGATCCCAGGATCCCGGGATCACGACCCGAGCCCAAGGCAGATGCTTAATGACTGAGCTACCTAGGCACCCCAAAGAGAAAGGGTTTTGAATGAGAAAAAGGTTTTGCCATGAATGGAAAGAGGGGAAGGCATATCCAGTCATGAGTATGCTTGTACAAAAGCTTAGAACAGGGGTAGATAGTATTGGAAATATTTTAGAGTTTGTGGGCCACAAGTTTTCTGTCACAACTACTCTACTTTGCCACTATATCACCAACATGGCCATAGATAATATCAGGCAAATTGGATGGCTGTGTTCCAATAGCACTTTATTTATCGACACTGAAATTTGAATTTCTTATTTTCAAATGTCATGACATAATTATGTTTCTCTTGATTTTTTTTCAACTATATAAGAATGTAAAAATTATGGTTAACTCTCAGGTCATACAAAACCAGGCAGTATGCTAGATTTGGCCCCCAAGCAGAAGATGGCCAACCCCTAGCTTCCTGGCAGGACAAAAAAAGTTTATGTACTAAGAGCTTGAGTAGGAATTTTAAA